GTATCTAGGTTTTATTCATTCAATTACAATATGCAGAATCAATAAAACCCTAGCCTCTTTTTCTTTTTCTCCTTTGGATTGTTTAACAAATTGCACTGCTGCATCCTTATCATCTTTATAGTTCTGAATTTGTTAATTTAGCATGTCCAATAATTTGTTCTGATATCTTGAAGTGAATTTGAACATATAACTCTTTTTGTTTATTTAGACGGTCGAGCAGAAGAGCTAGTTGTAGAGCTTCCTCCCCTTAGAGTAAAAGATCTCCCCGTGATTAAGACATCTAATCCTGAGATGCTTTATGAAGTACTAGAAAGAATGATTCAAGAAACCAAGAATTCTTCGGGACTGATTTGGAACTCTTTTGAAGAACTTGAAGAAGCTGCACTCGCCAAACTCCGCCAAGATTTTCCAATCCCAATCTTCCCAATTGGCCCCTTTCATAAGCATTTCACTGTCTCCTCAAGTAACTTAATAGCAGTTGACACAAGTTCTATTTCCTGGCTAAATGAACAATCTCCAAATTCTGTTATTTATGTGAGCTTTGGAAGTATTGCAGCAATAGAGGAAAAAGAATTTATCGAGGTTGCTTGGGGCCTAGCCAACAGCAAACTTCCTTTTCTATGGGTTGTTCGACCTGGATTAGTTCATGGTGCAGAATGGTTAGAACTGTTGCCCAAAGGCTTCCTTGAGAAGTTAGACGGAAGAGGCCATATAGTGAAATGGGCTCCTCAACTAGAAGTGCTTGCGCATCCTGCTGTAGGAGCATTTTGGACTCATAATGGATGGAATTCAACAATAGAAAGTATTTGTGAAGGCGTGCCAATGATCTGTATGCCATGTTTTACCGATCAACAGGTGAATGCGCGTTATGTCAGCCATGTTTGGAAAGTTGGGGTGCACTTGGAGAATGGCCTGGACAGGGTAAACATTGAGCAGGCCATTAAGAAAATTATGTTGGAGAAAGAAGGTGAAGAAATTAGAAAACGGGTTTTACATTTAAAGGAAAAGACTAATCTTTGTCTGGAGGTTGGGGGCTCCTCTTACAATTCTGTAAAAACCGTGGTCAATTACATTGCATCATTCTGATAGTTAACAGTAACTTCTGTTAATTCATTCCATAATGTTGTATTCTATAGTGCAATGGAGCCATCTCAGGTGTCATTCCTTGAAAATGTTTATTCAATCCAATTACATTGCCATGCGAGCAAATAATTTAATGAATCTTGAGGAACATTAATCAGCCAAAAGAGTTGCTCCTTCCCTACATGTGCTTGTGGTAATTTAGTTCTTCATGACTAGAATTGCTGTCTGTTGACATAGAATTCCAATAAACGCTGGTCATATGCCATAACTTTCTATCAAAGAAAATGTTTTTATTCCAAGAACATAATCTGCTCTCGTAAGCTAGCTGTTACCTAAGATGCCTAAGATACTTTAATTAGATAGGCTTTCGTGCTTCCAATGGGGTATGCTGTCAAACTTGCAATCCCACTCCGTCAGTCAATTAGTAACTAGTCAGTCTAGTCCACAACTGAAACTGTGGAGCAAGGAATGAAAAACTCCTCGATAGAAGGCACGTCTTATTACTTGTGCAAATAGAATGGTATCCCAGGCCTCTCCTATCTCTATTCGTGCTCTCTCCTCTCTCTCTCTCTCTCTCTCTCTCTCTCTCTCTCTGTTTGCTTTTGTGTATACTCTGCAGTTTTGAATGCTGGCCCTTTTCCCTAAAAGCCAAAAGGGTGAGGCTACTAGAAATAGGAGGAAAGAGGAGTGGGTAAGAGGGCTTGCTATTCCTAACGAAGGTAGGAATGGAGTAAGGAATATCCGCTCCT